CAAAATCCGCAAAAAGGATTCGAGCAGAAAATAGGATAGGTAACCCGAGCGATACGTATTTCTGCTGGTTGGCTTCATCAGGCCCGAAATGAATGTACATATGGAACTACAATGTACATGTAATCCTTTCCTTTATATTTTCCGGGGTAGATGGTGGATATCTATAAACCTCTTGCTTAACGTAGCCCCATAGAAAGAAGACCATCGGTGTCATAGCTGGTGATCTAGTTGACATCCTCGAAAAGCAAAGGCAAATGCTCGATCAAAAAATTCAAGTAATCTGTACCTGTTAATCTGTTGTCGAAAGAGAAATGTCCGATAACTTATCTGTCAATAACTCCTCCCCAAACACTCAAGCTCCCTTTATTTTGGAAATCTATTTGCCTAACTCAGTAAGGGTTTTCCGTCGCATAATAGTGCATGTTACGCTTGTTGACAACACCCATGCTGTTAAAAGGTGCCTAATCGCTAAAAAGAACCTTATCCAGGAAAGTAGTGTCTTCACTCACTTTATTTATAATTATTCTACTAAGCTCCATTCGACCTGCGAAATCCGAAACATAGGTGATATGGATGGTACCTATGAATAATCATTTGGACAGAAGTTCTGCATATATCAGTTTCTGCTCCAATTTGCCGTGCACTTGAATAGGGATTTTTCTGCAACTTTAATATAACCTCCAACTGATTCGCCTCATTCGTGACACTTGGATTATTATACATTTTTTACTATATTCCACTGCTCCACTTGATTCAAAACGTTCTCGTAGTGTGGAAAATGTTTCCGGCCTTGGATGTCGCATATTAGGGTACAGTTGCTTATAACACCATATTCCCCATTTCTTCTTTAGAAAAATTCATTTTCAAACACTTTTTTATCATAATTCTCACAAAGCTAAATATGACAGTTTGTAACTAATCAACAATTTATTTATTTCCAGGGATGATGCGATATTTTAGGGAATTGAGCCGTTCCATAAAAGACGTGCTAATAACCGAAAAAATAGCCGTAAAAACACTTATGCGTCTAGTATCCAAACAAAGCTTATAAAAAATCGAATCCAACCTTGCACAAATATACAGTGTGATGTATTTGAAATTTTTGAGAAAAACTATAATTTGCGTTTTTGACCACCCTGTATGAGCAAAAATTAAAATTCGAAAAAGTAACAAATAAAATAAAAGCTGATGTGTGTAAGTTTTTTTTGATACAAAATTCAGCACTCCAAATTTCAAAATGGCGGACTGAGGGGTTGCCGAATTGGGGTGTTTTTCTAGACAAAGCACCTAATATCTCAGTAGCTAATTACCAAAACCCCCATAGTATGTTATATCAGTTTTCTTCTTTTGAATTAGTTTATCCAAATATGCAATACAATTTGAGGCATTCCATTTGAAAAATCACAGCTTTGATATGTAGGTTGAAATTGGGACACCATGTATAATAGCCAATATTTTAGGAATGTGCCCTCAAATGTCATGTATAGCATTCCATAAATAGATTTTCCCAAAATGTATTTGTTTATGAGTAATATCCGTCCACACATGGATGGGCCACCCTGTATATGTATATTTATGTATCTCGGATAGAGGTTAGTTGGTATGCTTCGTTCGCTGTCCTGACCTGAGGCCAAACCTAGTGGATGCTGATGAGTTGCCAAAAAGCACAAAACATCTGTCCATGGTTGACTCCAACTCATCTAGCCAAGGAAAAACATCATGTAACATGTTCTGTGCCAAATTCATTATCACTACGCCTTTATTTTCCTCATAGAACCAGGGACCAATAATTCCAGCTGAGGAAATTGCACACCACACTGTGACTTTATGTGAATGCAAAGGCCCTTAATGCAATTCTCAAGGATTGGTATCAGGCCAGTAGCGCCTCTTTTGTTTGTAGACGGATACACACAAATGAAAGTGAGCTTCATTGCTAAAAAATAATAGCGTCCTTAGGAACGACGCTCATACGCGTTTATCCGAGAATTGAAGTCACGATGAGAAGATTTCTGCACAATTGCTATCTTGTGAGGATCAAAATGATTATCATGAATTCTCACAGAACGATCAGAAAGTTCAAGGTCAGACGCATGTTTGCGCGCAGAACGCCATGGTGATCGCAACATTGAAGCTCTCACTGCCTCAATCTTTTCAGGGAATCTAATGGGCCTGGGACTCCAATTCTTCGTCTTGTCGCACTCGCAGTTTGAACGAAATGACCCATGTAACACCTGATTTCCAGTCCGGAACAGGGGCTAAATTGAAGCGATTTCGAAAGAATATCCGCTGAAAAAGTAGACCTCAACGGCAAAAGCACGTTTCTCACTGTTACAATACATGATGGCGACCAAACTGAGTCGGTACAAAATTTTATAGCCCTGCCTCTTGAATGGGACCACCAGCGCTACTCTGCGACATCAACCACCTGAATGGCGCCCCTTTTTAAAAAAAGGAAGTTATGCTGCCGCACCGTGCATCATTATCATATGTACCCAATAAAAAGATTTGAAATTCTATCAATTTGAAATTCATAGTTTTTTTTTTCAGGCCTACTGAACTGCCTCAGTAGAATCTGATGACGCTAAAATGAAAACCTAAAATTACTATTTCTAACGCTAAAGTTAAGATCTTTCCTAAGAACTTTCAGATTCAAAATTTAAGTAGATGGGATTCAAAGATAAAATTGGCCTTTTTCAGTATCCATCAAAAAATTTGGTTTGTATCCCAACATTTTGCATGTTTCAAGGTTGTTAGGTATACAACTCTGTTGACAAATCTTAGATTGGGACTGATCACACAAAGAAACAAGATGAATGAAATAAATCAAAATTATCCCTCAACTGTCCAGGTAAAAACCCAACCTTGAGGTATATGCCCTTTCGCAACAATAATGACTAATGTATCAACACTTATCGATAAAAAGATATTCAGTTACAGATAATGTGAACAACTTGTAGTATTAAGTTGTAACCTAACAGGTGACTACGCAATTTTAGTTACAAACAATATGTATACTTTGCTCGTTCTACCTATACTACAACTATTTAAAACTGTAATGACTCATACGCGTGATCAGAGCTCGATCCCGGCTTCCTTCCAGTACAGCCGTATAGCGTACGACATATGTCGTTTCTGTGGCTTTGCGGTGGTCAACAGCACAGACAGAGATGGAAATAATGGCTGATTGTTCTCCACCGGTAGAACCAATGAAATCAAAGACGCGCCTCGACCGGCAGACTCATAGGCGTCGGCAACGCATTGGAACGCGTTTCGTTGAGCGATCGCATATTGTGTGTTTTTATAAGAATTGTTGTGTGATTGTTATTGTTGTGGTTTCTGTGGTTACTGTTTTGGTTATACTTAACCATGGAGAGTACAAATGGTACGAGTGGAAGTACTGAGAGCCAGGGAACAAGTAGACGGCTTCGTAAAGCACTGAAGAGGGACGCGAAAGAAATCGTGCTCAACGTGTTCAATTATCTGAACAGAACTATGTCGCAGGGAGATGCACTTGCGCGTTGTGAAAGTATGATAGGCGTTCCAGAGTGGACCATTCGCAGGGTGGTGCATGAAAAGAAGAAAACTGGAGCTACTACCGATCCAAAGTTTAATTTGATGGGACGAAAGGCCGTTAAATTGGATGACGACAGCAAAATGGCGTTAAGGCGAACCGTACATTCATTCTTCTTTAGGAATGAGATACCAACCCTCAAGGCTGTACATGCAGCGATCAAGGAAAATGAAATTATACCCCAAATGAGCGTCGAGGTAGTGAGGAAATCCCTGCACGCAATTAATTTTCGTTACGAAACGCGTAATCGGAAGTCAGTATTGATAGAGAGACCTGAAATAGTCGCCTGGCGTCGAAAATACCTACGCGAAATGATTGAATATAGGCGACAAAGAAGAAAAATCTATTATTTGGACGAGACATGGGTAAATGCAGGTCACACAGTTAAAAAAACCTGGATAGACAAAAACGTAGTGAGTAACCGACAAGCAAGCATTGAAGGTTTGTCAACAGGTCTTCGTGGACCGTCAGGGAAAGGTCAAAGATTGATCGTAACTCATATTGGTAGCGATAGTGGCTTTTTAGAAGAGTGTGACTTGATTTTCGTCTCTAAGAAAGGAGGTGATTACCATGACGAAATGAATGCCAGCTGCTTCGAGAGCTGGTTTCAAGGGGTGCTTCAGCGAGTTGAGCCCAACTCTGTGATCGTCATGGATAATGCTTCCTACCATAGTCGTCGAGCCGAACGTGTACCGACTATGGGATCTCGAAAAAGTGACATGCAGCAATGGTTGCGCGAAAAAGGAATCCCGTTCGACGATTCATGTGTGAAAGCGGAATTGTATGAAAAAATTAATCAGCACAAACCTGCGAACATTAGTTACGTGACTGATGAGATGGCCCGTCAATGTGGTGTCACTGTGCTGCGGTTACCGCCCTACCACTGTGAACTGAACCCAATAGAGCTCATCTGGGCTCAAGTGAAGGGTTATATTGCGCGCCATAACACAACCTTCAAATTAGCAGACGTTAAGGTTTTACTTGAGACTTCCATACAGCTAGTAACGCCCGAAGCTTGGCAGAATGCTATCCGTCATGTTGTGAAGGAAGAAACAAAAATGTGGCAGCTTGACCACCACATCGACACCATCATAGAGCCAGTTATAGTCAATTTCAACGAGGAAAGCGATAGCGACAGTTTATTACTGTCAGATGTAAGTGGAAGCGACGATGAATAAAGGTAATTCCCAAATTTTTGAATTACAATATGTTTCAAACCACTCTTTATTAAGCATGTGACAAATCTAGTGCACCCATGTTAAACATTCATACCTCGCCTATGAACAGCCGACTACTGGTAGTTAAGTGATGTTCACGTGAACATCGATGAGTCATTACAGTTTTAGATAGTTATAGTATAGTCTGAATTGGACATTTTTTGAAGGATTCTTCCAACTCTGACTTCTGATTAAATATGCAGTGTAGACAGTTACCTTACCTTATCTGTCTTAGGGCAACATTGTTTCTTGTTTGATGTATTCGTGGAATGGCCAAGTTCAACCAAGAGAGCTTCGGCCGCATTTCTTTTGGCGGTCTTCTTGTTGGGGCCAACGCCAGTACAAGAATGGCCATTCACGGACGCTTTTATAACGAATTCCCTCCTTCTGGGGGCACCGCGTTCTTCTAATACTGTGTACACTGGTTCCCGTTCTCTGTTAGCCTGCTGGATTTGAACCAGTTGTGCTATCGGGTTGATTTCTTCGACGTTCTCGCTGTTGTCTACGTTCACCTACAAACAAGTAATTGTTTGTTTGTTCAAGATTTATTTAGCATGATTACTACAATTACATTTTTTTAAAAGACTACAACAATTACTCAACATACAGATATTTAGAAAAACAAAATTGCATCTCTATGAATTTTCACTGTCCATGATTTAATGTCCTTTAATTTTCTTTTAAAAATCTTTAAATTACAAGAAGCCTTTATATCTGTATTTAGTTTATTAAATTCAAGTAATCCTTTCTGAAATTGAACTACTGCAATTCTTGTAACATAGATTTTATTTTGGTGAACTTATTTGCACCAAACGAATAATCATGATTTATGCTACCTACATATTTACCCAAAGAAAACCCCGTATTTTACATTTTTAAATGTTTTATGAAGGAAAATAGTTTTCCCGTAAACGCCAAAAATTGCATTTACACTTATTACCGCATATTACATTTTTTTGGAAAGACCCTGGTATGTACTCAGTAAATACAGGATTTAACTAAGGGAGATGGATATGCGAGGTATTTTCTAAGGAATAAAGCAGCTCCGCTATCGGCGCTGTCCATGCCAGGTTTTCTCTAAGCATTTTACCGCGTAAATCGTCCCTTTATTGATTGGTTTTGACTTGTCGGCATGTTTATTATAAAGTGCTCTATTTTTTTCATTAATATATCAGTTAAAAATTGTCTTAATATTTATAAAAGTGTTGTTAGTGGCAAGCATAAAAATATTTTGCTTTGGTAAGTTAATACGATATTAAGATATATAAACTGATTGTCTTGGCGCTCAAGATTAAAAAATCTGTTAGCCTAGGAACCTGGGCATCGATCTTACAGGCAGAGCTATATGCTATACAACTGGGTACCAGAATGATTGCAGAACGACAACTGAGACACAGAACTATAACTACACTGATCAACAGCCAAAAAATATCCTAAATAAAATCAACAAAATATTACTATTTTTAATGTGCTAAAACCAGAATGAAACTTGTTTTTTCAATATTAGTTCAAGTTTTAGAGATACGCTAATTATATGTGTTCCTGCTGTGACAGTGTTAATATACTGTAATTCACAAGAATGCACGTGCTACATTTTTATATTCGGCAAGGAAAGATGATGTAATCGGCATGATTGTGTTACGTTATACATACGTGTACATTATATTGTTTTATATTAGCCATTTTTTCCTCAGTTGGCTGACAGCGTTCATGCAAGATGTCTCGAAAGTGTGTAAACAATCCAAACCAGTTTTGTTACGTGTGTGGTGATGTGACTTTTGCGTCTCAGAGACGGTCTATTACTCCACTAATAACAAAGGCATATCAGCTTTATTTCGGTTGTAAACTAGGTGATCAAGACAAACAGTGGGCACCCCACATGTGCTGTAATACATGTGCTTCAAGTCTGAGGAGCTGGTTAAATGGCAAAAAACGGTCTATGCGCTTTGTTGTCCCAATGGTTTGGAGAGAGCCTACATATCATATTAATGATTGTTACTTTTGCATGGTACCTTGTGTTGGACAAGCCACAGGTATGTCCAAGAAAAAAAAAATCGGTTATTAACTACCCAAACATACCATCTGCGATGAGACCTGTGCCTCACAGTGACGAAAATCCTATTCCGAAACCCCCAGAATCCTACACTTGCGAATCAGATCATGGTGATCGAGTGATTCGTCAGGAAGAAGATATGCCATCAACGTCAAGAGATCCTGATTTTATACCGAGCACGTCATGCCACCAACCGCACAAAATAACACAGTCAGAATTAAATGATCTTGTAAGAGATTTAGAACTTCCAAAATGTAAGGCAGAGTTACTTGGATCAAGACTGCAGCAGTTTAACTTGTTAGAAGACGATGTTTCGGTATGTGTTTTTCGTAAACGCCACAAAGACTTAGAACCATTTTTCAATATGGAGAATAACTTGGTTTTCTGCAGTAACATTAACGGCTTACTGGCGGCTTTAAATATAAACTATAACCCAGAAGAATGGAGATTGTTTATAGACAGTTCAACATTGAGTTTAAAGGCAGTGTTATTGCATATTGGAAATATTTTACCATCTCTTCCTGTAGGGTATGCAGTTCACATGAAAGAATCATATGACAATATTAATTACCTATTGACATGTATAAAATACGATGAGCACCAATGGCATATTTGTGGCGATTTGAAAGTTGTTGCACTTTTACTTGGGCTGCAGCTAGGCTACACAAAGTTTTGCTGTTTTTTGTGTGAATGGGACAGTCGGGCAAAGGCACTTCATTACACCAGACAAAACTGGCCTGTTCGTCAATTCCTAGAGCCAGGTCAAAAAAATGTACAGCATATGCCATTAGTAGATTCGAAAAAAAATTTATTACCACCACTGCATATCAAGTTGGGCCTAATGAAAAACTTTGTCAAGGCATTAGATAGAGATGGGTCAGCTTTTCAATACCTGCGTCAGAAATTTCCAAGACTAAGTGAGACAAAGGTTAAAGAAGGTATTTTGGTTGGGCCACAGATTCGAAATATTTTGAAAGATACACAGTTTGAAAACACTTTAACAGGTATTGAAAAAAGTGCTTGGAATGATTTCCGTCTGGTGGTCACTAATTTCTTGGGAAATAGAAAAGCTGACAACTATAAAACCCTTGTCAAAAATGTGCTGTCATCGTATCAAAAGATGGGCTGTAATATGTCTCTTAAGATACATTTCCTACACTCACACCTGGACTTTTTTCCTGACAATTGCGGAGCCGTAAGTGATGAGCAAGGCGAACGTTTTCATCAGGATATTTCAACAATGGAAAAAAGGTACCAGGGAAAGTGGAATCCTTCCATGCTTGCAGACTATTGTTGGACTCTTGGTAGAGATGCTCCAGAAACGATCCATAACAGAACAGCAAAAAGACAGCGCATATAGTGATTCTTATAAGTATATGAATCTTGTTACTTTTTTTTAATATATCCTTAAAAATAAAAAGTTTTTTTCTAAACCGCAACTAATTTTTTTATTTCATTGTCATTTTTGGATTCAGCGCCCCAAAATTAACAAAGAAGTGCACTTTTCCCAAAAGATACAATTAAAAAACTAAAATTTGTTGTCCAGTGTATCAAGAGGATGACCATGGGGGCAGAGGGTGAAAGGAGGTGAAGTAGTTTTTGGTTAAAAAGTTGTCCCCCTTGAGAAATCTTTTGACGTGTCTCGGCGGTTTGTCTTTTAATCAGAGGTTTTCGAAAATCAGTGGTGGGAAGTTTTCAAATGAACACCCTGTATAAAGATATTGTAATCTGTCACATAGACATATTTTTTTTATGTAATGGGAAACCGTAAATAAATAAAAAACCTGCTATTTTACTAAATTTCCTGTATCTTCGAGGCGGTGCGGGTTTTCCAAAACACTGAAGAAAGGTTACATATGTTGTCCTATGTTTTGCAAACATCCTGTAGAGCTGGAAGATTAGGTTTGACGTTGATAAGAAATGCTAAACCGTTTTTTATAGTGCGTATTAAACTACCTTGATGAGATTTCTGGTTTTCATCTTGATAGGTACTCGTTTACGTTTAGGCTGAGCGATATCCTTATCAGCCGGTAAAGGAGGCAGTTTGAAGAGCTCTTCCAACATTTTTTCAGCAGCACGTTTCTTGGATATCTTCTTTCCGTAGCCTTCACCATCAGCGACAAAGTTGCCCACACGACATTGAGTTACAAACACTTTCATATGCGGTGGACCCTGGTAAACAAAACTGCGATTAAAGACTGCTCATTTTGACAATAAAACCCTTACAAAATTTTGTAATGCCATTTCATCATATACGTTTTAAGATCCGACTAATAATTGCAATGATCGTTTTTTCTCATGAGTTTCTAATAACATAAAACAGTGCGGTCTGTGGTTGGTTATGGTTACAGAGATGGAAAATAAACATGTTCAGAAGCTTCTATTTCTACATATATATACATAGAAAGTCTTAGTTTGCTCTGTGAATATTTAATACGTTAAACGCCAAGGAAAATATTAGAAAAATGTCCATCTGACCAAAGTCCAATTTTGTATCATTTGTTCTGCTTATGACTTACAGTCTGCAGAAATACGTTTGATTCATTTATTTATAATCCCTTTAGCTGTTTTCTCAAAAAAATGTTTAGCGGTCCCCAGAGACCGCCGTGGTGTGGCGGGAAACATATGCCTAGCACGCCACGGCGGTCCGATTTGACTTGTTCGTGTCCGTTTTACTGGTTGACAGTAGTTGCTTCCAGTTAGTGCCTTTTACGTGCAATTATAAAATGAGTTAACGTGCCAAACGTTTGGTTCAACTTGCAAGAAACATTTCCTCGAAGTGTAGTAGGCTCAAGAAAAATATTACATCGGCGACATTATAAAATAAAAATTTTCCAGACTCCAGTTCGTCTTCAGAAACGATCCATTTCAGTGTTCCCACTTTTGCCTTGACTGCTTCGGAACAAGTCATAAATAAATGAAATTATCTTATATTTTGTATCCCTATATCATAACTTGTTTTATATACTAAGTGACATATAAATCCGAACACCCAGTTTAAATGGTTTTATTTTAATAAAAGTTGGTGAATGTATTTATCTTACTGTAAATAACAAGTGAAAAAATTTTCAGCCTTATCAGTTGGACATTCCGGTTGTCATACTGCTTTTTTTTAATTCACTAACGCTCTAAAAATTAATATTTCAGCCGCAGTAAAGAATCAACGTTGGCGGATTTTGGTTCTTAACATCCTTTACGATCGGTTACGATGCCTAGAGTACGGAGCCCTGTACGATTTCGTCAACTTAGTGAGTTTGATAGGGACCGTATAGTGGGACTTCGGGAAGCTGGACTTTCTTTTCGGGCAATTGCAGTTAGAGTGCAAAGAAGTGTAGACACTGTGGTTAGGTGTTGTCAGGCATGGCTTCGAGAAGGCCGTACGCAAAGAGCAAGGGGCACTGGACGCCGCCGTAGATCAACAGACCGTGAAGATCGCCGCCTAAGATTATTGGCCTTAAGGGACCGTTTCTCCACTACCAGGTCCATTGCAAATGAATGGTTTGCAGAACACGGAAGACCTATTGGCATGCGAAGTGTTTACCGACGAATGAGAAGTTTTGGCTTGTTTTCATACCGGATACACTGGGTCCTCCTTTTAACTCGAGAACACCGACGTAATCGCCTTTAGTGGTGCAGACAACGGTCACTCTGGGATCAGGAATGGAACAGTATTGTATTTAGTGACGAGTCTCGATTTTGTTTAGGCATGCACGATGGTCGTGCCAGGGTTAGAAGGCGACGTGGTGAAAGGAGAAATCCACAGTTTTTTGTTGAAAGACATATGCATCACACTGTTGGAGTTATGGTTTGGGGTGCTATAGCTTATGGTTCCAGGTCACCTTTAATATTCATCAGAGGTAACATGAACGCGCAGCGTTATATCCACGAAGTTCTAGAACCCCATCTTTTACCCTATCTTGACACCCTGGCAGATCCAACTTTCCAACAAGGTAATGCCCGACCACATGTTGCAAGAGTCACAATAGACTTCTTTCAACATAATGATGTCACATTGTTACCATGGCCACCAAGATCTCCCGACTTATCCCCAATTGAGCACGTGTGGGATATGATGGGTAGGAGATTTTCTCAATTTGCAACGTCCTCCTCAGACTCTAGAAGCACTTCGAGAGGAGTTGGTGGTTGCCTGGAATGAGATACCACAGGAGGACATTGACCACCTGATCAGAAGCATGCCTAGGCGCGTTGGAGAATGAGTAGCACATCAGGGTGCATCAACACATTATTAAAGGTCAAAGGGCTTTAAAGCAGTGCAATCATTTTGAAATTTTTATCATTTACTTATTATGCTTCATTAAGTACTTTTACAAAATTTTATTAAAATAAAACCATTTAAACTGGGTGTTCGGATTTATATGTCACTTAGTATATTTTTGTTATAACTGATGTGTGGATGTGCACATATTGTAAACAAAACTTTTTCCAAGCAAACTGGAACACATAGACTTATGTACTTATTTCGCTTTATACGTTTTACAACAAGCTCAAGGTGTATCACACTCAGCGCTGAATGATGAAATTATAGTGTGATACGGAATATGGTACCACAGACCCCACATCATCAGCTGCGGGTTGAAATAAGAAAGACATGTGTACAAACATACACAAGTAGATTACAATTACATCAGAAAATTAAAATCACTATCGTTATTAAAGTGTAGGTCTCTGACTTCAATTGTTGGCTGTACTATCTGGAGATATTCTTTTGATAGCTTCTCTAGCCGATATTTAGCAGTTCTTAATTGCGCTGATCGGGTGTTACGAAGTCCATTTTTGAAGTCTCATCTTGTAACGAGACCTGCGTTCGACCTCAGACACTCTTGGCAAGTCTCTTATGTGATTACAATTCACGTCTCTCTCGGTGCTGGTTGATTGATTGATTGTGAGGGGTGCTCAATTATTCGGTTTTTAAAAGCATAAAAACATCCTCAAGGTACCATCGTCGCAAGTTCATTAGGAACTTGTTGAATTAGGCGCGCTATTCAGAACCACCGGTGGGCAAGTACTTATACAAAATTTTATTAAAATAAAACCATTTAAACTGGGTGTTCGGATTTATATGTCACTTAGTATATTTATATATACAGGGTGACTTCGAAGTTGAGTCATTTATTTTAACAGTGAGTAGATCTGATCAAAAGAAATGTTTTTTCCTTTAACATTTTTCTGGTAAAATTAAGTAACAAAGTTATAGCGCTTTAGAAGTTTGAGTACCGCCCTGTCTCAATAATAATATTATGTGCTCGTGTTTGGCAACAACGGATATAATCCGCCTTATCGGTTCATCGCATCGGAAACAAAAAAGCGAAAGAATTTGAAACGCTTATCACGATGTTTTTACTACAATTTTATTCAGTTGTATTCAGTCAATGTGTCAGTCGGCAACGCGTGAGTGAATAGTGGTGTTTGTTGCGTGCCTCAAACGAAATAAAAAATGGCACATGTTTACGAAAATGCTGAACTTGTGGACATGATTCTTATTTACGGGGGGGAGTCTTTACAAAATGCTGCCGCGGCATCACGGATTTATGCAGATCGGTTTCCCAATCGAGTGCAACCAACCCCTCGTGTCTTTGTTAATGTAGTACAAAGGGCTCGTGAATCAGGTGTCTTAAGACCTCACAGGGGAGGGCATGCCGGTGCTCCAAGACCGCACGATCAAATACAGGTCCGCACTGAAATACTTGTCGGGAGGATACTTTATAAAACAAGGTAACTTTTTTTTTTATTTTTACACACATATTTTGGTTTATCTTCCTTCCTTCTACAATCATTATCTGAAAATTAATGACTCAACTTCAAAGTCACCCTGTATATATATATATATAACAAAAAATAGGAAAATAATGGGCAAAATCCGCAAAAAGAAGGAAATCACACACGAAGTCCACAACAAGAGCCAACCTACACATTCTAGTATAAAATGGCTAGAAGACCTCGAATTGTCAAGGGGACATCTAACCACAACGACGCAGCCGGTTATAGCCACTTGCTGTGGTACTTCAAGCCCAAAGGATCTACAAAGAGAAAATGATCATGCGGAGAAAGGTATATAACAAAAAATAGGAAAATAATGCATGATCATTTTCTCTTTATAGATCCTTTGGGCTTGAAGTGCCACAGCATAACCGGCAGCGTGGTTGTGGTTAGATATCGACTTGAAAATTCGAGGTCTTCTAGCCACTTTATACTAAAATGTGTACGTTGGCTCTGGTTGTGGACTTCGTGTGTAAATTTTCCCTCTTCATCTTCGTTTCCTCAGGTTACACCCGTATCCGGATGTATAGGCATGTGAATCTACTTTTGTAGTTACATATGTTCATTCATTTCGGGCCTGGTCAAGCCAACGAGCAGAAATACGTATAGGTCGGGTTACCTATCCTGTTTTCTGCTCGAATCCACTTTCCTTCTTTTTTCGGATTTTGCCCATTATTTTCCTATTATTTGTTATATACCTTTCTCTGCATGATAATTTTCTCTTTGTATATATATATACGCATTTTCACTGGAATCTTGTTTGTTTTTGTCAATGTTGTTGTGTAGATTTGGTAGGAAATAAATGATATGTGATGATTTAAAACAAAAATACACCAAGAAGTTGGCATTAGGGTATAATCCATACCAGCCACAGCGGTCCATATCTAAAATGAATTTAAATATGGACCTTTGCCTGGAGTCACCGTGGAAATAAATTAAATACAAAGCGGTCCGTACGGACCGCCGTGGCGTGATAGGCCCGTTGTCAAGCGGTTCCATGGGACCGCCATGGCGCTTAACGTGTTAGTATTCCAACTACTTTATGGTGGTGCGGTGTGACATCTCTGCATAGTGCATAACGTCGAGGAGTTATAAGCCAGATGACGTATGTGTTTTTCTGTTGTGTTGATCATATGGAATGAGGATGAAAAGCAGTTTGGCGAACTGTTGGTACGAGGGCGGTCCGATAAGTACTTAGCCTCACCGTCACTGTCGCAAGAGAAATTTACTATCGTATAGTACATTCTCGTAGACGGCTACTATCAAAATTTCATCCGAATCGGACTCGTAGTTTTGTTTTGACCGCGTGTGGAAGTGGGCGTGTCCGCGAATTTTATAAAAATGGAAAAAGAGCAATATCGGTCGGTGATTCAATACATGTTTTTGAAGGGAAATCGTGCAGCGAAATTGAAGAGCGCTTGCATGCTGTGTGATGAGCCACCGCCAGGTGCTCTGAAAACGGCTACCACGGATGATATCGTGACAAAAATCCACGATCTCGTATTGGTAGGTGCGCGATTGAATGGAATGAGGAGATTATCGCCGTCATGGAGGCCTACTTTGCAGACCTCTAGAAAACGTATTTTTCAGACGAGCTAAAAAGATACTATGTTGAGAAATAAATCGACACTTTTCCAAAAGTTTCGTTTTTCTTTTGTAGGCTAACTACTTATCGGACCGTCCTCGTTATTGCGCACAATTTTAAAATAGGTTTCTCTACCCCAATCTTCTTCCAATTACCAATACTTTCGTATCTAGTAACTCTAATTCTAATTTCTGATTTCGTAATGTTCAGAAAAAAAAAACGAGAAAACGTTGGTATTTACTTGAGAGAACAACAACCATTTTCGGACTATGTCGAATTTTCTCAACATTTTGGTAGCTTTACTCAGACAACAAAATTTACGTATACACCTTCGGAAAAACCATTATTATACATTATGATGAGGAAGAGAGATGGAAATATACAAAAGTATGTAGATGCGTGAAAGACACTCGATTGTAGGATCCTATCTGGCAGCGTCGGAGTGTGACGGACAACGGGGTAAAGTAGAAGAGTGATAAAAGAGAGATGGCTGAACGGGCGCTGGCGCCTACCGCTTAGACGGATGCGTTCAACAAATGCGATCTGTTTCTCCCATTTGCAGAGTTGCCGATACCAATATGTCATATTTCTAAGAAATCTAAGTCTACCCAAATTTCGGGAAAAATAGCTGCGGATTCCACATAAGAGTATTCCAAAAATGAAAAAAGTTCAAACTATTAAAATTGTATTAATGTTTCATGGTTCAAATCATATTTTTCATGTTTGTATATTGTTGTATAAATGATTTTGTAATCCCTATTCTTGTTGCCAGTAGAGATACAACAGTATTGAGAGAAATCATGGACCGCTAGATATGGCTAGAACTACCATATGACTATCAAATAGTAGTGATAAACAGGGTTTGTTTACAGCACAGTTGCCTGGTGTGGCGAATTTGCGCCATAGGGGCGATTTGACAACTTTGAAAGACAACTATAACGGGTACTATGGTGCCCGGTATTCGGGAATCTGGCAATACCTGATGATTCCTAACGTTTATTACGCCAGATTGTTTGCTGACTTGCGCAGTACAACATGACAATCAACGTGACTGAGCACCTGGTAACCCTGGTTTAAGGTGTTATATTTAAAGAGCTTGGGGCAGTTAGGTATCTAGGTCACATTTTTTAATGTATTTCGAGAAATCCGTAATGTTGAGTAAATACTAGATCACGTTTCTTGCTTAGTTTGCTGAAAATTCTACAATAGACGTACATTTTGAGAAACAGAGATTTGGTGACGACAAAATCGTAAAATAATTTCTTTGTTGAAAAGACTGTGGCTTGATGACCCATTGAACGAGTATAGTGTCCCGCTCCGCTTTGAATATTCGAAACACTATACTCCAGCAGCATTCAGCTTCCATGTTATCTTTATGAAGTTCTAAAGTCTAGGCCATGCTGATTAAAAGCTTGAATGAATCAACACTTAACTCTAAATTCCCCACAATTCGGGAAGCTCTACTCAAATTGGCAACACAGCGTGTCTGCCTATTATTCTCATTCGTGATACAGGTCTGCGGTCTGCTGCAAATTTCAGTATGCGTTGAGTCGACAGAAGAAGTACAGTAGATGCGCGCATTACGCACCAGTTCGATTGGACGTCCTGTGAACCGATTTCGGTGATTTCGAGATTTCACGAAATCACCTAAATCACTCTACTTATTTTTATGAATGGATAATTGGTTTTGTAGCAATAAAGGTTGCGTCTCATAACAAAAATAAGAAGATACCCACTCTAACAAAAAATAGTACACTCTTAAAAATGTGTAACGAAAATAAAAAGATATTCTAACAAAAAAATAAGTTCTCAAAAATAAAACGCAATAATGAACACAAATGTTTCAAATGGTCCTTCACAGCTGGGGCTCAAAAACGTCTCCTTCATTCAATGAACAGTATGTCAGGCGGTTATAAAACTCCTGACGAACTCTCAAGAGGGTAGAAGGCTGTATTTGCCCGAGCGCTTCAACGATTTTCACCTGTAGGTTATGCAAATTGTCTTCTCTCTCATTGAAAGTGTAAACAGTACTTTTCACATAACCCCACAAGAAAAAATCATTGGGCGCTAGATCGGGTGATCTAGGAGGCCATTTTATTGTTCCGTTACCGCCAATAATCCGGTGGCCGAACACACTTTCAAGGTAAGTGTGTACGATCGCCGCATTATGCGCCGGGCATCCATCTTGTTGGAACCAAATATTAGCAAGATCAATGTCAAGCTGCCTAATTGCAGGAACAATCTGTGTCTGTAGTAACGCCAAATATTTTGCAGCCGTAAGAGTTCCATCAATAGAGAATGGTCCGATAATGTTATTACCTAGAATTCCTGCCCACACGTTCAGTTTCTGTGGATACTGCGTGCGGACGGGAATACTGAGGTGTTTATTTTCCCGAGACCAATACCGAACGACTGAAGGATTGTGATGACCGTGGAGAGGGAATGTGGATTCATCAGTAAACAAAATGTTACCAATAAAACTTCCATCCCTGTTCGCCTTCTCCATGACCGTTCCACAAAACTCCATTCGACGGTATTTGTCTAAAAGAAATATTTCTTGAACCGTTCCAATCTTGAAGCTATGATAGCCGTTGCGATGCAAAATATTTCTTGTTGTTCTGGGTGTGAGATCGGCTATTAGTACCATTTCAGCAAGTTTTCTGCTTGAGCATGGCTCAGATACTTCTGCAGCGGCACAAACAGCAGTTTCGATCTCCTCCCTTTTCTCGCTAATTTTTGGTTTCCAACCTTCAGGGTGCATGCAGCTATGGCACTTATGTAAGCAGCCCACCCTCTTGAATTTTTCGTAGGTATTTATAACCGTTGCGTGAGACGGAATTGGCCGATCTGGGAAGCGTACCGCAAATAATTCAACAACCGCGCGTGCTGAATTATTCTGGATGTACCATTCTATCATTTGAAACTTTTCTTCTTGCGGGTAAATTTTTAAGATATTTTGGATTAAATAAAGACGCACCTTTCCTACACAAAACCCAACCGCAGAGTGAGTCATGAATCCCTTATCGCACTTGACGACGGTACGCGCGTTAACGGTAGGAAATATGTACGAATAGCGATGAAAGTAGACGAGCCGATGCGCTGTTGCCAAGAAATGATTTCCCATGTATAACAATGGTTTTTCCTAAGGTGTATATCGAAATACATAAGAAGATTCCATACCTTTTCGTTCAATACTTCAAATGTAACGTTCAGGTTCCTTTTAACCGCTATGTTGTAGACCAAAGTGATTGGCGATAGCAGATCAGCAGAGCGTTTGACTTCATTTTGCATTTGGCCTGCACTGTCTACACTGGAATTTAGACTTCCATCGTTTTGTTCTGACAAAAAAATAGAAAAGCATGTTAAAGTTAAAACTTAGCAATAAAACGTTACTACAAATTTGTCCAGTAAGGAACAAAATTTTCTCAAAATTCTAATATCGATGCATATATTTGGATTCAGGTCTTTAACATGGTCAGGAAGTGAAAAAAACGGAAGGTTTTTGTTTTGATTTTGCTGATACGCCCCTTTGAATATTATACAGGGTGTTCCATAATTATTGCGACAAAATGATAGGGGTTGTAGAGGGCATAAAAATATACAATTTTGCCTTATAAACCCCTGTTCGTAAATATGCCGTTTGAGCACTACCGCTAATTTTACCTTAAGAGAAACAAAAAATTCAACAGCTGCAAAATGTTCGTCTAGCACATTTCATGGTCTCGCCGATTTGTAAAAAAAAGCCTGCTGTGTTTACATTTTTGTTATCGTAAATTCTCCACACCGATTCATTTAATTTATCTGAGTGGTGCGTCAAACTAGAGGCCAATCCGCGTAGAAGCGTTCGTGCTATTGCACATGAAATGGGAGCGTCTCAAACTACTGCTTGGCGGGTTCTCCATGGCCAGCAACTACACCCATACCACCTTTTAAAAGTACAAGCCATGGGTCCAGAAAAGTATCTGCCGCGTCGACGGTTTTGTCGTTGGTGGCTGCAGCAAGAGTTGATTCAACCAAACTTTGGTCGCTACGTTTTGTTCACTGACGAGTCCTGTTTCACAAAGGAAGGTTATTTTAATAGCCGTAACAGTCACATTTGGGATGAAGAAAACCCTCATGCCATAGCCATCCATAGAGACCAACATAGTTTTCAATTAACATCTGGTGCGGCGTTGTGGACGAGCATATCATCGGGCCATATTTGCTTCCACCACGTTTGGATGGGCATGCTTATGGTCGATTCTTACATCATGTGCTACCTTAACTATTAGAAAATGTGCCACTGAACATAAGAGCCAACACGTGGTTTCAACACGATGGCGCTCCAGCCCACTTTTCTTTACAAGTGCGGCAGTATTTGGACGACAAATAGGTGGATCGGCCGAGGTGGCCCTGTGCCTTGGCCTGCGCGGTCACCCGACCTGACCCCACAGGATTATTTTCTCTGGGGCCATCTGAAAGCTTTAGTGTACGAAACTACTGTTCCCAACCAACAAGAGCTACTGGGAAGAGTGATGGCCGCGTCCGCACATGTTCAGGACAAACCGGGGGTATGCCACAGAGTTCGCCGATCATTGAACAATCGTGCACAGCTGTATATTGAGCAAGGTGGAGGACACTTTGAGCAATTACTGTAGGTAAGCTGTTTCAAGAAACTGATCTTTTTTTTTTTGCTGCATCCCAAACGGCATATTTCCGAACAGGGGTTTATAAGGCAAAATTGTTCATTTTGATGCCCTCTACAACCCCTATCATTTTGTCGCAATAATTATGGAACACCCTGTATATGTCATATGAAATTTTCGTATCTACTTTCGTTAAGAGATACTCAATTTTCTTAGTTTGAATTTCATTTTTTTAACCTGAAATTGCTTATTTCAGCAATCGTTGGATTACTTGACTGGGTAGCCAGTTCTCTAGGCAGCGTAACCTTAAAATAGGCTTATAAATAAGATAATACAATAATAATAATCATCTTTATAGCGACTACATTATAAAAGGGTGAGGCTTAGCTCATTTAACTATTCTTCTGCTCGACCCAAATATCTAGAAAAAAGTGTAATAGTAAAATGATGATGATGATACATGAAATTAAATCTTCACTCACATACACACACAAAAAAATATACGTATTTATCCAGGAGATGATCTTTCAAATAATATTTAAACCTATTTAGAGGAAATGGGTTTTAGGTTTTCCGGAATAGAGTTGTAAAGAATAACTGCGTTAAATGTGAAAGATCGGTTAAAAAAAGCTGTCTTCTGTGGCTTGGCGAATGTGGAGATCTAATAACTCCATTGGATGAAATTATACAGGGTGGTCCATAAGTCCTTTGAAATTTCAAATTTGAATAAAATTTAACGGGTGAGCGCGAGCGGCGCGGGCGAGGTGGGGGCAGTATCTTCAGTGTCTGGGAATTCAGTCGCCATGGAGTGTTTCACTGGAGCGGATCGTGCTTTTTGTGTGCGCGCGTTTTATCAAAATAATGATTCGGCAACCATTGCGCGGCGTAAATATCGAGAATACCACAATTTACACAATTTTACAAAGTGTCCAACAGCTCAAACGATTAAGAACTGGGTTGCAAAGTTCGAAGAGAGTGGTTCGACGTTAGATAAACAGCGGTGGGGTCGACCAAGGACAACTCGTATTGAAGAAAACATCAACATTGTGGCACAGTCTGTTCGTCAAAATCCTACCCAGTCTACTCGCAAGCGTTCCAGTGCACTAAACGTACCCAGAACACCTTTACAGCGGATTTTAAGGAAAGATTTACGTCTGCACGCTTACAAAATTCAGTTAGTGCAGGAATTAAAAGATAATGACGCTATTCAGAGACTAAACTTTGCGATTGAAATGTTGAATCGATTTTCTTCGCTCAATAATGTGTTGTTCTCGGACGAGGCTCACTTCCATTTAAACGGGCATGTAAATAAACAAAATTGCCGTTATTGGAGCCCCGAAAATCCAAGGCGTAAGCATCAGAAGCCCTTACACAGCCCTAAAGTTACAGTTTGGGCTGCTATGTCAGCGCATGGAATCGTAGGCCCTTATTTTTTTGAGGACGACAGAGGTCGCGCATTAACTGTTACTTCGGAGCGGTATGTAGCAATGATAGAAGAGTTTTTGACACCAGCGTTGCAGAATTTTCCAGGCTATAATACGCAGACCTGGTTTCAACAGGACGGAGCTACTGCCCACACCTCCAACACTTCTATGCCCGTCGTCTGTCAACTTTTTCCCAGCAAAGTAATTTCTCGAAGAGGAGACATTTCCTGGCCACCACGTAGTCCAGATTTGACCCCAATGGACTTCTTTTTATGGGGCTACCTCAAGAGTAAAGTGTACGACACCACTCCGCGATCAGTTGATGTCCTGAAAGAAAATATCCGAAGAGAAATGGCAAGCATTACATTGTTGACTTGCCGCGCAGTCATCGACAATTTTAGACGTCGTTTGTATGAGTGCCGTGATCGTAATGGATTGCATTTAGACGATGTGATTTTTAAAACATAATTCCCATTCAATAAAGATGATAACAAAATATAATAATTCTTCATAATGTAACTAGTTTGGTTTTATTCCTTTTTTTCCAGCTCAAAGGACTTATGGGCCACCCTGTATTTAAGAGAGGTACACGTTTCTTTTTCAAATACGAGGGTTGATCTTTAAGCTATTTTTCTACATAGTCGCCATTTTTTCTACGCATTTTTTTAGATGTGGCAATGACTTCTCAGCCTAATCGCACTATTCAGTCCTTTGACGATGCGCATTGTCGTAGTGCAGTGTTACGCTTTGCAGAGCTTTCCCTACGACGATTTCGGATTGCCCGTCTCAGCTTTTTCAGAAGCCTCAGGCATTTCAACCGCCTGTTCACAGATCGTGATTCGCCGATCTTCGAGCAAGATTTACTCAACCTTCGCCATAACTTCCTTGGGAATCGTCGGCGTCCCGCTCCGTTGTTCATCGTGGATGTCCATGGGGCCGCCAAAGAACACCATTTGAGGACATATTGAATGCTTATAGACGTTTCCCATATACTTCGCTCAACTGGCGATGAATTTCTATGGGTGGCAACGTTTTTGCGTGCAAAAAACGGATGACTGCACGAATTTCGCAATTAGCGGTGACGGCGATAAACGGCTCAGTTGCGCATGGCTGTCAGGGCGGTAGTGAGCGTCGCCAATAGGCACTTCTTGTTGGGATCGGTGGTGGAGGAACTGACAAACACGAAGGTGTTGCCAGATTTCGCCTAGTATCACGCGTGGCAAAGTTACACCGTTGGGAACCTTATCATAATGGTACACCTGTTGAATTGGGGGCTGTTGTTTTGGTTGTGAAGGTTGTTGTTGGGGATCGATGTGGTGGTAATTAATGTGGGACCAGTCGACATCGACACTAACACTCCTGCAAAAAACTATTCCTAGCAAATGTTTTTTTGAATTATACCCCAAGAGATGCACCCCATCTCATGTGAAGAGGGTATTTGGCATGTGCTCGCAATGAAACATCTGCTGAAAACTACCACGTTGGCATCCACATGCTCATAGCTGAGACATGTTATACATGATAATATATCGTCGGCGTTCTGGCAAAAGTCACTATACTCTGGGCGCTGAAGAAAGACAGTAAACGTAAACAGTGATCAGCACGTGAACAGATCCCTCGAAAGCATCCACGGATATACTCCAGTCACTTTAGGTCTAAACATCCTCGGCAGTGTATTTCTAGTGAATCCACAGACCCTTTTTCGTGTCATCTTGAGACTAGAAAAAGGATGACTGTTAAAATAAGTTACCTTGATCTTTCATGAGCTCCCAGTACAAAACATCATCGATATATTTTTGATGTAGGAACAACAAATTGGTTTAGAAAACATCCACTTTGAACCTAAATTGACTGGAGTAACATCGATCTACAGACAAATTCAAGGTCACTAGCAGTCGTCGGCGCTCTACGAATCTGCACAGGTTTGGACTTGTAAACGTGATTGTAGATGACACGACAGGCATCTAACAGTTAATTCACGCACAGGATTGCATTGCATACGCATTACGCATTCAGTAGCGTATACTCGTTTTTCGCGAGTGGAACGTTTTGTTTATATATTGCCTAAGATACGATGTCTGACACAGATACAGCCGACGAAGTGGTTGACATCAGCGCAACCCCACCCAAAAAAAGGGCTAAGAAGCTACATTTAAGTGCAAATGAAAAACAAATAATATTAAATATATACAAAAACCAAATTCAAGAAAAACCCGATTTGGTCGTGGACGAAGTTATATGTAAGGTAGCACATATTTCTGGAGTATGTCGGTCCAGTGTTTATAGGATCATTAAGGAATACAGGAGCACTCACTCACTTTCTGAGCCAAAACCGTATCCTGCAAGAAAAAGGATAACGGACGGAGTAGATGACTTTGACAGAACTGCCATCAGGAGGAAAGTGCATAATTTTTTCTTCCGAAATGAGATACCTACAGTAGATAAGATATTAAGATTAGTTAATGCTGATGAGGATCTTCCATCATTTAAAAGAACCACATTCCGAAAACTTTTGAAGGAACTTAATTTTCGATTCTTGAAACGGGGAAGAAACAGTATGTTAATAGAGAAAGAAGAAATTGTTGTGTGGAGAAGGGAATACCTTAGGAAGATTCGGAAGTTTCGCGATGAAAAAAGAAAAAATTACTATTTGGACGAAACGTGGGTGAATGCTGGACATACTCAAGCGAAAGTTTGGGTCGACAAATCAGTAACATCATCAAGGCAGGCTTTTCTAGACGGTCTTTCGGCTGGATTGAAAAATCCTGCAGGTAAGCTCCTTCATCTATCCGGCAATTTAATTAATAATATAATAATAAATTCGGGCAAATAATATGCTGTGATAGCAGATAATGTGTGATATTCTCCAAAAATGGTGCATTCGCAGTGTAGTCATTAGGAAAAAAACTTCGACACTCTTTTAAGCGTTATTTTGAAATTTATTATCATTTTTGGGTGCAGTCAATTTGCTTTGAATGGGTTTTGAGAAGTTGCAAACTTCAATTTTCTACGTTTTTCAGTTTTTGATCAGCATTCCGTGACTCTTAAATTCAGCTAAATGAACTCAATTGCCTCATTCCTTCAAATTTAATCAATCCATAGTGTAAGGAATAATTTATTTCCAGGAAAAGGCAAACGGCTGATCATTTGTCACGTAGGTAGTGAAGACGGCTTTGTTCCCGAAGCACTGTGGGCCTTTGAATCAAAAAAGACAGGGGACTATCATGAGGAGATGGACGGCAATTCCTTTGAAAATTCGTTCTCCAAAATGTTACTAAAGCTGGAGAATAACGCTGTTATTGTACTGGATAATGCCCCGTACCATTCTAGAAAAATAGAAAAAATTCCCACAATGGCAACTAAAAAAGCAAACATACAACAATGGCTTGCCTCAAAACAGATCGATTTTGATGAAACAATGGTCAAGGGTGAATTGATAAGTATAGTCAATAGACATAAATACAAATACGATTTTAAAATGATCGACGAAATGGCCAAAAAACAAAATAAAACTGTCTTGAGACTGCCACCCTACCATTGTGAGCTGAACCCTATTGAGCTGATTTGGGCCAACATAAAGCAATACGTGGCGTCGAATAATAATACTTATAAATTTTCTGATGTTAAAAATCTCTTTCATATCGCAGTCAATAGAGTTACGGCAGAGGAATGGAAAAACTGTATCCGCCACGTTCGGGAGAAGGTTGAGGTCAAAATGTGGGATTTGGACAATGTCATCGATACCCAAATTGAACCTCTAATAATTCATTTAAACGATTCAGAAGATTCAAGTTCCTCTTCTGAATGAGTGCGCGCAGCTTACTAATAACTAAAAAGTGTAGTTAACTCATTTGTGAATCTCTAACTGAAATTTACTGTAAAAGATAATAATTATCTTGTATGAAATTTTTGATGACTACCCATAATATCTTGATGCGGTCCTGTAATGTCTCCTGCGCCTAAACACTCACTCACGAGCAATATGCGTGTATTTGTTTGGGTTTAGTTTCTTTCTTCAGCGCCTAGAGAATAAGTCCAAAATCGGCATTTTGATGTTAAAGCCGTCACTTATCTAAAAAAAGCGCTATCTTTAATCTGACAATACTCATTATTTCCAGAAGTTAGTGTATAACTGGTTGCCAACATGCGCGAAATAGATAAGTCACAAACGGACGCGTTCCATACAAAGCAAAAATCACTAAATGGACTTAGTGATTTTTACCTCGTTGGATATTTTGACGTTTTGTTAATAGATATTCCGGTACTTACAACTTAATATGCAGAAGAAAATAAGATTATCGTGCACTCTGTTTTAACACGGCATGAGGAATCATTACATTCCCCAGGAATATCCGCCGAAGTATCGAATCTTCAAAAACAGGTCAGTGATGCTTTTTCACAATTGAAAGAGCCTTGATTCAAAATGATAAAATTTTTATATTCAGGCCTCCGTTGAAAGAAAGTTGCATCAAGCAGAAAGTAATGTTGGCCAAGATAAATATCTTGAGTCCAAGGATATAGAAGGACATTGTACTTATGGGAATGACAAAGAAGAGTCTGTCACAGAAAGAGTTGAGGAAGATCCATTTGAAACAAGCGATGACCAAGACCAAGATTATGATCCAAATGAAGAGTTCACTTGATAATATAGGTCTTCTTTGTTCAAGATATAAGTAACGTTGCGGTTTTAGAACCGAGGAGTGGAAATTCGCAAAAAAGAAGTCGGTGGAATAAAGCAGACGAGACAAAATGGAAACGAAATATCGAAAAAAAATGTAGAAACCTTGGTCAACCATATATATCTAAGAAAGGACCAAAACCGGCCAAAACTCCACAGTACGTCAACTGCTCATAATGTCGTTTCAAATGTTTTGAAAAATTCAGCGAGGATGATAGAATGGAACTGTGCTTGAGTTATTGGAAGTTAGAAGATTTTTGTCGGCGAAAGCATTACATTCTCCACAATGTTAAGGCCAATATTCCTCAGAAGCAACGACATCGCAAGGAGAATGCTAAATCAAGAGGGAATGCAAAAGAGTTTTATTTCTTGAAGAGCAACGTTCCAACCAACCAGAGTATGCCAAAAGTTTTTTTTTAAAACTCTTTGTATAAGCAATGGGCCACTAAATAACGCCTTTGGAAATAAACATGAAACCTCTGGGTTGTATAGTGCAAACGATATGCGCGGTAGACATGTTCCATCTAACAAGACTTCCCAGGAAGATAAGCAAGTTATTATGAATCATATTGAAAGCTTTCCATTATCAGAGTCGCACTACTGCAGAAAATCTTCACAGAGAAAATACTTGGATGCTAAGCTTTCTATCGCAAAAATGTACTCTTTGTACAAAGAACTATGTCAAAAAGACAGTCGCAATCCCAAAAGCATGACAACATACAAAAGAATTTTTTGTCTGGAGGATAACTACTCATTTTTCAAGCCACGAAAGGATCAGTGCGCTGTATGCATGAAATACCAGTCAGCAAATGCTGATCAGAAAGCTGCCCTAGAACTATCCTACAGTGAGCACAGCGTGAGGCTCACGCTATTATTTCCAAACAAAAAGATAAAGACAGAGCAACCAGAGACTCCACATTTGTTACTGCGACATTTGATCTCCAAAGTGTATTGCAGATTCCAAGTAGCGATGTGTCACCAATGTATTATAGTAGAAAACTTTATGCTTACAATCTCACTATTTACGAAGGTGCCCCATCCAGTAATGCATACTGTTATACCTGGACGGAAGTCAATGGAGGAAGAGGCAGTATAGAAATTGCAACATGTCTTTTCAAATATATCCATAACTTGCCCAGTCATATTACAGAAGTGTCATTTTTTTCTGATACATGTGGTGGGCAAAACTGTAACCAAAATGTCCTTGGCATGCTATACTACTTTGTTCATCATGAAGATACTCAAATCACTACCATCGAGCAAAAATTTCTTGACTCTGGGCATTCAATGATGGAATGTGACAGCATGCATAGTGCTATTGAACATGAAAAGAAATATTTGGCTGTTTACACCTTAAATGACTGGATAAATATTTTCAAAATGGCTCGATCTAATAGAAGGAGGAAAAAAAGGGATCCATATGTTGTTAAGGAACTAAAGTACTCCGACTTCATTGACTTTAAAACAATTTCTCAAGCACTCTTAAAAAACAGAACGATCAACACGCAGGGCGAAAAAGTCAGATGGCTCCAGGTCAAATGCTTCAGAATTGAAAAGTTTAGTCCAGGTACTATAAAATACAGATATAGCCATTCAGGTGAATATCATTGCATAGATATCCTAGGACGAGGCAGACCTTCAACGTCTAAACCTCAGTAAAGCATATTCGGCGATGCTGCCGATTTCAGTTCAAAAATATAATGATCTGAAAAAGTTATGCACCACTGAAGTAATTCCTGAAGAATACCATCACTGGTATTCATCATTACCGGTCTCAAAATCCGTTAGGAACAAAAATCCTGAGCCCAGTATCGAGAGCAGTAGCAGCGGCGACGAAGAAGACTAAATTAGCATTGATATCAAAGCATGTTAGTTACAAACCTATTTAGTTTTTTGACCACGAAATGTAGTCGTATTTTTTATTTTTATGAAAATAAAGATGATTTAGTTGCAAATATTATTTTAATACTTAGCCACACCACTTACAGACTCCTAGTTGCTTTATCTATTTCCACTTCACAGTCTGCAAAAAATCATTAAGTCCATAAATTTTCGATAGTTACGAAAAATAATTTTTAATAAGTGCATCCTTTCGAAAACCCTTATCCTAATTTGAATGCATGACTATTGTACAGAACTGAATTTTACGGGATCTTTCAAGTTTAAAATCCAATTATCTCGAAACTATCAATTCAAATCTAGATGAATGACAAAACATTATAAATCATTGTGCACAACACCCAAAAATAATAAAAAATTTACCCTTAGTATGAATATCTAGTAGCAAGATTAGACACAGATCTTGGGTTTTTTTTTTAAACAAGCTTCTGATTCACGATTGTAGTCAATCAATCGTCGTGCACGCGTCATATAATTTAGAAAAGCTCATCATTTTTGTTTCAACTGGCAACAACAGTGAAATTGTCTATTCTGAAGATTGAACCAGATGCACTCAAAATTTTTCCTCACACTAAAAGTTCTGGCTCAAATAGTTTACCTGTGGCGGGCATGCTCATTAGTACTGGGATACTTTGATTTGCGGGTGGTCCCATCTGTGTCATCTGCATCCTCAAACAAATTATTAAAAATGTTCAAACCGATTGACGCAGTAGAGGTTTTCAAAACGTCGTGAGTGACCGTTAGACGACATGCGCAGATTCAAATCTGCGCAGAAGGGCGTAACTGATACTAAACTGAATCCAAAGTCAAGATGAGATGTAAATAGGTTTCTTCGGGTTTTTATTATCACTGTTCTACAACTATCAGGAGCATGCGCGGATTTTTCACGGTTGCGCATTCCTTCTGCCAATGTCATTGAAATCAGTCTGACGTGTTTTGTAATTAATGACGTTTGACGTGTTGTGCTTTAATGCTGTTTACGTTTTGCGGTTTGAGGAGTGTTTTTTATCTATAATTAAAGGAAAAGTGGACAAATGGATCCAATGCAGATCATTTTTGATTCCGATTCGTCATCATCATCGTCGTCTGACAGTGATGATGAACTTGAGGCAGTTATTTCCAACTTATTTTGAAAGATGTGAGCAAAAATAATAATTTCTGTGAGGAAACTGTTCCTTCCTATACTGATAAACAGTTTGTTGATCATTTTACATAATATATTTTTTTATCCAGCAAATCAGCTTCCTAAAGACCCGGGGCCACTAGTAGCACTAAACAAAATAATTAGTATAGTACATCGAGATTGCACACTAATTTACATAGAATGCATGTCTTTTTCAGAGTTTCAAGGCAAATTGTTGCTACTTTAAAAAGAGATTTTGAAGAGTCTGAGTTTTATCCAAAGAAAGACACTGGTTTCCAGAGGATAGACAGTGAAAAATGTATCCTGGCATTTCTTTGGTTCACAATAGAGATGAGCAAAAACTCGCGAACTGCGATTTACTCGCAGCGATTCTACAATCGCAATCGCAACCTGCGAGCCCGTTCCGTAGCAAACTGCGAGTTGCGAGCTGGTGGGTTCGCGTAAGCCGGTAGGCATGCGAGTGGCGATTGGCGGTTAAAAACGAGCGGATGGCGTTGCTTTTATATGGTTGTGAGTTGTGACTGTTGCGAGCTGCGAATGCGAATTGTTAGGATTGGTATTCGTGGTTTATATTTTCAATCTCTAGGTTGTTTTTTTGTTTGACTAGCCAGTAATATTTTATTCAGTTTCAACAATGTTTAAAAAGAGGAAAATAAGTTATTTGTGGAATTTTTTTCCGAAATCGACGAAAATTTCGCAAAATGTAATATGTGTGCAGCCAAAATATCACATAAGACTAGTACCACGAATTTGAGAAGACACATGGAGTCAAAACACCCAGCTGAAGCTGTAGCTGCAAATAAACCAACCTTGTTAAGTTCTTGACAAGAAATGTTTGCAGTTTAACATATTACCTGTTGGGTTTAGTTTTTGCATTCTTCTAATTAAAATTATAATTATAAGAGACATTTGTTTTCATTTTTAATAAAATCTACAGATTTGGAATTATAAGATTTAAAAAAAAGGTATTATCATTTCTCCTAACCTTTATAACACAAATACAATGTTATTTCATTTTTTGTGATAACAGTTGTTAACACATAACACATAAATATGACCAATTTAATGTAATTAACCTTTTATAGAAGGGAAATAATGAAATAACACAGTCCCACAATTTCAAATCGCAATCACAGGTTGCACACGCAGTGAGTGGTAAATCGCAATCGCAGTTTTAACTGCGTTCACAAAATCGGAACTTTGATCATCTCTACTTCACAAGCAATGAGGGTGCAACATTTAAGCCCCCCATTCATTAGTGGATTGGTGTGACGGATTGGTTCGTCCTGACTTGTCCGCCGACCGATCCGCCAATATATGGTATCGAAAGACATGTCGCACAGCGGTCCGGGTCGGGTTGTGAGTTCGCTTGTTTGAATACCGAACCTACGATCCGACCGCGACCAATCCGTGCTGTTTTTACAATGTGTGTGTAACTTGTCAAGACTTGTCCGGCGACGAAAGAGTTCTTCCGAGATCAACGAAAGTATCAAGGCATTTTTTGAAGGGAATTCAAATTAAAATGTCTTTTGAAGATAATAAATCTTTTTGGGAGGAATTTATCCAACTTTACCAGGAAAATCCTTGTCTTTGGGACATCAAGTGTAAGGATTACCGCAACAAACAGAAAAAAAAGGCTGCGTATGAGAATTTAATTAACAAAAGCAAAGAAATGTTTCCAGATGCCAACAAGAAATTTGTTATCAAAAAAATATCGTCCTTACGGTCATCTTTCCGACGCCAGATAAGGCGAATTAATAGTTCAAAGAGAAGTGGGGTGGGAACAGAAGATGTACCAGAACCTACATTGTGGTATTTTGATCTATTGTCTTTCCTGATGGATCAAGAAGAGTCTCGTGCAGCGGTTTCTTCGATAGAAGGAAATAACCTAGATGACCAATCACAGGCCTCAGTAAGTAGATATTTTAACTAACAAATAATCTAAAAAGACAATATTTATAATAATTCAGATATTTTATTTCAACACATATACTATACATCTTAAACTTAATATACAAATTTGTGTTGAAAGTCAACTTCACCTGCATTATTATAATATTCTTTATATCCATTTCGTATCATCTTTGCGTCAATAGTCGGAGATCCTTGCCTGGACACATCTAATGATATTAGTTCTCCATTCATGTGCATATCACCTATCAATACAGTCCCTGAGATAATGTCTTCAGTATCGATGTTACTAGGTTGTATGTAAGAAGTGCTTTTGCGGCGTAAAAAGTTGTGTAAAACACAGCATGCCATAACGATATCATCAACTGTATCCACTTTAGTAGCTATTGGCGTTAGGAAAATCCTGAATCTATTTGCCATGATCCCGAATGCGTTTTCTACTACGCGCCTGGCACGGCAAAGTCGATAGTTGAAACATTTTTCTTCATAACCAATACTGTTGGTTTGTCTGTATGGCGTCATGAAATTTGTCAGTAGACTAAAGGCTTCGTCCCCAATAAACACAAAGGGTAATTTATTTTGAATTCCTCGCATATTGACTGGTTGGGGTAATTTTAAAGAATCTGTTATCAGTAAATTGTAAAAATCTGTTTTCTTAATGACCCCCCCGTCTGATATTCTTCCATTAGTTCCACAACTTACATAAGTAAATTCATAATTAGCATTTACGATAGCAAACAACACAACACTGAAAAATCCTTTATAGTTATAATAGTATGAACCACTTCCTGGGGGCTGTTTGATAGCTATGTGTTTGCCGTCTACGGCTCCTAAGCAATTTTCAAATTGCCACATATTGTTAAATCCTTCTGCTACTTTGAGCCATTCCTCTTCTTTTGATGGAAACTGAAACCAAAAATAACACAGCTATCATATGAGGCAAAGTTAACTGTGAGCTATTTTATTGCAGGAAACCGATGAATACACACAACATTCTGATCAAGATTTAGATTCATCATCAGTTTTATCGCCTGAAGCTCCTCAACGTGCAACACCAAGTTCCCGTAACAAGCGAACTCTCAACTGCACAACTTGGACACAGAAGAAAAATAAATTTTTGGATGCTTCCATAAAAGTATTGGAAACTCCGCAACAAGATGTTCTTGAACCACAAGAAATAACATTTGGCAAAAATACTGGTCAACAATTACAGGATATTGCAGTTGGACAGAAGATAATAGCCCAAAAACTGATTTCGGATGTGCTATACCATGCAAAATTGGGAAATCTCACACATTCTTCTCATATTTCCCTGGGTTACCAACCACCATCATATCAAAGTGCCCCATGCGTTCCGCAAGCACAAATATTTCAAAACTCATGCTCCAGGTATACAACATCCATTAACCCAACCTTTAATGAACCCAGCACGTCATATACACGTCAACCAGATGTACCAACTTTTACCACTTTGACAACTCCAAATCAGGCGTCTGCAAATAGGGAAGTGATGGAAGAATTTTTAGTTTTTCCCAGGCAAAATAATTAAGAAGTGATAAGGTACTACGAGTATTACAGACTGATTCACATATCTTTAATTGTTAGACATAATTTGAAATAATAAAAGTTTTTTCAACACTCTGTTTCTTATATGCATCAGAATACATGAAAAAAATAATTATTGTACTTACACATAAGTATTTCTTCCGGAGGCAGTTGTATATAGCACGACACTTTTCTGGAATTATTCTTCCAAGTAACTGAGGAGAAATTATACAAGAAAACTTTAAGTCTTCATAACTCCTTCCAGTTGCCAGAAACCTCAAGGTGGCCAACAGACGTTCTTCAACGCTTACTGCTTCTCTGAATAAAGTATTCTTCTTTTCTATCAGAGGTTTTACTAGCATTAATAATTCTTGGCATGCGTCATAGTCCATTCTGAGGTAATTTATAACATCAAGTGGTTCACATGATTGGATACATTTCAATAGTCGCAAATGAGTAAATTGTTCCCTCTTTTGCAGCCATTCTTTCACCCAAACACGTTTTTTTTTTTTTTTCTGATTCTAATAATATGATTGTACCTACAGCCAAAGCAACTTTCGCCTTTTTTGATAATATCGGAGACATAGTGCTATTGGGTTCGCCACATTCAGTGTACAAATGAGCTCTTTTGCAGGGTTCGTGTAATTTCCGTCTAATGTATTGACAAACGTGGATGAGTCGTCAGTCGGGTCCCGGTTGCCGTCCGAGTTCAGGTCCGTCTAGTGAATGGCCCGCATTAGAGATGTGGCAGATAGGTTTGACCTGTCAATGAGTACCCTACAAGGCAGTAATCAAATTCAAGCGGATAACCAAATGGAAATGGTATTTACCATTTTGGGTTGGTATTTACCAATCCGTTCAAGCGAGTGTAGTTATCAGTTTGGTTATAAGATCCGTGACGTCACGAATCAGCTGTTATATGTCATAGTTATCACCGCAAAATTGTGGTATTTACCCAACTCAAGAGTAGTTTTATATTTCTGGTTATTATTTGAAATGTGACAAGTTAGAATTTTGCCGGGTATTGGATATTGTTATTGTACTTCAGCTTCATTTTTGAGAAAAACGATACAGGCTGACTTCAGTTTTACCATAAAGTGGAGCACCTTATTAGTTATACTCATTACGGTTGTTGGGGATACTTTAAATGTAGTTCCTATGCTTAACAAAGTATCCTGTGTAGCCATATACCACAAGAATATTAAAATATGGCCATATAAACTCACTAGATGATATCCACCTGTATACGGTTTTGCTAATTTCTTTTTTCATCATTTCTGCTGAATCAATAAATGTTTTCTTTGACATGTGGAAAAATTTAGAGAATTGAAAGTTATCATAGCTACAAAGCCATGGTTAGATCATTAAAAAAAAAATCTGAAAAAAACATTTCTCCATGAATATTATGAAAGGTTTCTTATTTAAACTTTCCATATACAGTTGTAGACGAAAAAGCACCGATTATTAAGTGATAATAAAAATAATCAGAGATTATATACGCGCTTTTCTAAAATAAACAACTTGCAACAAAACCGCGGTTAAAACCAACGCGTTCAAGCGATTCGTGTAACTGACGTCATCAACCCGTGTGTCATCTTGAACCATATTATAACCGCGGCACATAACACAGAAATTTTGGTTATTCGCTTGGATTTGATTATTGTCAACACCATTGTACATTTCTTATCAATTCTGTCTCGAAGTGTCATTATATGGCCATCGGCTCCAGAGGCTAACAACATAGCCAGAAGTTTTGCTGAAATGGGGTTTCCAGGAGCAATAGGGTGCATAGATGGGAGCCATATTAAAATTGATACCCCCCGAGAAGATCCTGATTCTTATTTGAATAGGAAAAAGTTACATTCGATTCAGGTAAGTGGCAAATTTGTGCAGTATCCAGCTATTCTATGTCAGTATATGGATATTTTGAGAACAAGTTTTTTCTTTCAGATGCAAGTTATCTGTGAATAAGGGATGTGTTTATTGGGTACCCAGGTAGTGTCCATGATGCAAGAGTGTTCCAGAATAGACCGCTGTGCCAAAATTTAGGACAGTGGTGTAAGGACTGGGTAATTTTTGGAGACAGCACCTATCCTTGTTTGAGGAACTTATTAACTCCTTATAAGGATACAGGTAGTTTGTCGCAGGTGCAAAAGAGTTTTAATAAAAAATTGAGTCATTGTAGAGTGTTAATTGAGCACACAATAGGTCTCCTAAAACAGAGGTTTAGGCAACTGTATCATATCAAATCAAGAGATATTAAGTTTATATGCCATTTTATTAGGCCATGTTGTGTGCTGCATGACCTCTGCATCGATAACAATGTTGTACTTGATGAGGCAGTAGATGTAGGTGATGAGGGAAATGAAAATCCTTTTAATGACCATGGACATAATGAGGTTGGTCAAAACTACAGGAATTATGTGGCTTCATTATTAGATATGTATATAGTATGTAGCTTTTAAAGTGATAATGATACAGTAAATATGTGTTTAATTATTTTCATAATAAATTTATTTGCAAATACATGGACAAATGTGTCATTTTTTCCTTCGTACTAGCACTCACACTATTTGCAGCTGGAATTTGTTTTACTAGGACTTTTTCAATAAATAAAACAATTTTATTAACAATTTTAATTCAATAAAATTAATAATACTGTTATACAGGATGCTTGGCAGGAGCTTGGTCATCCACACATAGAAGAAGTTCTAATAAACATGGGTCCAGAATTGTTTGGTTATTGCTTTTTTAATAAGAACTTTAATGTACTTGTGACAAGAAAGCCACTTTGAGTTGAGATACAGTGTATTAAAAATAAATATAATACAAACAGAAGATATATTTTTTTCTTACAAATCTAAACACTGCTTATCATATAATCACAGAATATGGAAATATCACTTTCCCCACAAAAATTGGGTGTTATTACCAGTTTATATTATCTTCTATCCTTTGTAATTCTGATAATCAGAAGCTCATTTCCAACAATATATATACACATAAATATCACTCTAAAACATGGAACACTTTGGTATACATTAACATAGAATTCGTGAAAAATAACAGTTAAAGCTGAGGAACTGATAACCTATTGTAATAGCCAAACACTTTGATTTAAATCACTATGTTTGCTGTAGAATATGTATAAAAAATATTTAAATTCCAAAATAAGGAACGAATTATAAACAGAAAACTGAATTACTTTTTCAAAAACAAAACAAAAATACCATAAAGAACATAAAATTAGCATACTGGAAACTAACATTTTTTTATTGGGAAGGATCTTTGGAAAAAACATTTTGTTTAAACATATCAACATATTCCCTAATAATTGATGTTCTTTTTTCCCTATCAGCCAGTTTTCTTCTCTCAGTCTCTAACTTCTCTTGGGCCATCTGGTCCTTTTTTTCATAAAATACTTTCAGATCATTTTTGATTTCTAAAAGTATATCGTTTCTTTTGACATACATAGGGCTATGTCTTTTCCTTTTTAAAGATGTCTTAGGGGCAGCACAGGACATTCCTCCGGATGTACTTGCTGTTTCTCAGAGGGGATTATCTTTGGTTAGAGTATTGCACGAACAAGAAGGTTGAGTATCAATAATTTCTGGAATATATAATTCGACACGTGCAGAGCTTTCTGTTTGGATTATAGGTGCCTTTTCTATTGTGGACGAACTGGATAGCAATATGATTGGATTTATATTCTCCTTTTTCTCAAAGATCTCATCCATTTCTTGCTCATATTCAAATAACTTCCTGCCTCTGCCTGTTTTGTTGTTGTTTTCAATAACCTTTTTGTAATTTCTTTCTAACACTTTAAATTTATTTTCACACTTATTTGCTTGGAATTGTTATTTTATATTCAGTAGAAAGATCATGTGCTATTATTTCCCACAGTTTTTTCATATTTTTGACCTCATATGGGCCAAGCTTTTTCTTGTTTACTTTATATAACTGTAAAAGTTTAAGGGCCCTCTCTCTCGTGAAAAAACATTCTAGGGCCTTGTCTTCGTTACAGTACTGAATTTTGAACCCGAAAATACCTAATAATAATAACAGTTGTCGTGATCTCTCGGTAACAGGTGGGGACAACGCCTCTTATTGGTCAATTCGCCATTAAATTTCAAGCGGTCGCCTGGCGGAATAATGCGCGGGGCAGGGGCAGGGCAGGCAGAGTTGCATTCAGGCCACCGACCGTCGCGTGTATCACTGCGTGATCGTGTTTTCGTATTCACCTTGCTTGGTTGTTGCTGTTGTTGTTGTTAAGTGTATTTGAGTAATTTGTTAAGTTTCTGTTAAATACTGTCATCTTTGTTTTACAACACGTTGGTGGTAGTGCATCATTCGGAGGTAGCCCTGAATGCGGCCCTGTACGCCGTCCTTGCTTTTGGCAATCACGCATCCATTCTATCTTGGGTGTAAATACACTATAGGTCTGCTATAGATCAGTCAAATTATTTCGGTAATTTTTGTCACGCACCTATTTATCAAATAAATTAATTACATAACGCGTATTCATTAACGGAACATTGAGAATGATATTCATTTGATTTGATTCCCTTACAAAACGTTGTTTCCCTACTATTTAAGTGTTCAATGACGAGCTTAGAGCTAATATAACTTTCTTATAATCGTTACTCATTATGTTTCCCCGTCGTCGCGTCGGGGGCCTGGTACGGAATCAGTAGCGTAGGTAGCTACTGATTCCTACGGAATTACGGAAGAAGTAAGACTGGTTTATTAAGTATGGGAAGGCGGTAATCACCACTTTTCAAACCTGATTTTTGATGAGAAGTTCTGCATTCGGTGCAAAGCCCTTTTTTCCCCACAATGCAACACAATTGCTCGTTTTCCCTTGACCAATGGTGCTTGCAGACAGGTACTTGTCCCATCGTCCCAGGACTTGGGCAATGTATGAGAGTTGTGAATGTAAGTCTCATCGCTGTATACAATGTTCCTACCTGCGGAAAGGTCTCCTTTAGAGCAAACTGATACTTTTACAAACTTTAAGGAAATTATTTTGAAAACAAAAATCTGCGTTAAGTATTCGGTCTTTCATTTGAAATCATTTTTCAATACATTTTTGTTAAAGCATACCTATATATACAGTATACACTAATTTTTGCTGTCGTTCATGTACCTTAACGCTTAAATTTTATATTTCCTTGGTCACATGTTCAATAAAAAAATTTCAAATACATATAAAGTAACTCATCTATTAAGGTTTATGACAATTTTTTGATAGATATCGATATTGCTGAATGGACTGAAAACATATGATAACATATAACATTTCCTTGTATTCCTTCAATTTCCTTAAAAACCCAATTCGTTTTAAACGAATGTGTTGTTTTTGAATCAGCAGTTTCCAATTATCTTCCACTTTTTTTCCAGCAAAAACCTAATTTATGAAATTTTTTTCCGAAGGATCCGACTTTTCCGGCAAGGGGGATCATTTTTTGCAGCTTCATAAACGGCTTTAATGGTAGGCCGCCGCTTATGAATATGGACAAATTCATAAATTATTTCCCTTATCGCTGCCTCAAACCTGTCCACTGTTGATTTCGAACAGTTTTTCTTGGGGAGACAAATTTATTACCTGTGGGTTTGATGAAGCTTCTTTCACAATGCGTTTGACTGTAGTGGGTGATACACCTGTGGCCTCTGCTACTGGATTCGTCAGCTGATTAAAATGTAAGGTAAAATGACTTCCCCTCCTTTTTACGGCTCATGAATTGAAAAACATATACAATCTAGCGGC